TTTTAATTTTCTTCTTATACGTAACCCAAGCCACATTTTCCCTTGCATTAAAAAAATGGTTTTTACAGCTAAGTGAACCGTAGGTAACCCTCGTTAAGAGAATACGCTGAAAGACACCGGGATTTTGCACTAGAGCCGCAGGATTGTGGCTCAACGAAATTCTATGTTTAAAAAGTAAAACTTGCAGCCACTATTTGGTATTTATTGTGAAAAAATAGAACCAGCGCTCGCTAAACCACAGAAAAAGCGCACGAAGTGAACACTTGAACATGATGAAATGAAATAAAATTAACATCTCAAAGTGCTGAATGGCGCTGAGGGTATAGCTGGGGATAATGATAGCGACTTTCCGCGGATTGTGTACAGAAAAGTTTGCAACTTTTAAAGGACCAAACCCCTGCCGCCAGGCAGCATCGCGCTTTTCCTTTCCTTCCAGCAATCTGCATCGTTTGCATAATTTTCCATGGAAGCAGGAAAAGTAGGTGATGGGTTCACGGGATTTTACTCAAGTTCTAAGACAGCACGAACTTGAAATTAGTGAACCAAAGGCAGACACTGTAACAAATTGGATTGAAATTTATTTTCTTAGATTTATATTGAAACTGTTTCTACAACATTTTTACTATAAAAAAATAAAAAATTCAAAATTTATAATATATAAAAATGCTAAATTTAAAAAAAAGGCTTTACTTTTTTTTATTATATCAAATAGTTTATCGATTTATCGGACAAATGTTTTTTTGAGACGTTAAAATATCGACTTGTATATTGACTTTTATCCTCAAATATCGATAAACATCAATGAAAGCCATTATATGATTACCCTCTGCATTTATTTTGCTAAATGTTTTTACAACTTACACATTAAATATCAATTTTATCGAAATATACAAATGTTGTTAGTCTCTTTTCCGACTATATGACTTCGATATATTATAGAAAATATCGATCAATCTCACATAAGTATCTTAAAACATGAATATATCGATTCAATAGGAAAATATCGATTTTTCGTTTCGAAGTAATCGATTTAACATCGATTTTCTGTACCATCCATAGGAACAATTTTATATTCCGCGCTGTCTGTTCCATATAAAAAGTGTTTTACTATTTCAATTAATGAAAATCACCAAAGTTTGTGTCTCGCTGTTAAAGCAGCTCCTTCAATTTTATGTTTAACCCTTGCCCAGCTTGTCCTAATACCATCCAGGGCAATCAACAACGACATTACACAAACAATCTGCAATTGACTGCTGCTTAACTAGGTGAAATCTCACACACAATTACATCTTGCATCTCTATTTGATATTAAATTTTCTGCATTTGCACTCTGGCTGGGATATCGAGAAGCCTTTAGAGTACAGCTCGGGGGTTTCCCTACACAAGGTCGTGATATGTAATGAGCTAAATCCACTTGACACGCTGCATTTCCCCAGCTCACAGCCGAGACAAAGCCATTGTCAATTGTCAAATTCAGTCAGCCGTGGCTTTATTATTTAACCGCTGTCCTTAATTTGCATTAATTAAGGCGTAATAAGAGCTGGCAGCTGGATGAATTGGCAAAGTCTATGCAAAATACAAAGGGCGAATCGGGCCAAGTCGCACCCCATTTTTCTCCATTGGGTTTGTCTGACACGCAGTTGTTAAACCATCGAGTTGGCCTTTTATAAGCGTCTTTCTATGTATTTATTGCGTCTCTTGGAAAATACCTTTAGCCTGATCATGACTTTACATAATCCTGGCCATTGTTGTTGCCCGCCTGACGGATTACAGGGCATCGAATCGATTATGGTTTCAAATAGATTATGACGTCCTTTTTGTACAGGAAATGGCTGAAAAGGAAGCTCAAGTTTATGTTTCTTTGAAATATTGCACAAGTAATTTTCTTCTTTCATTAAAACTAAAGCTAAAGTAAGTGGAGAAGATAATAAGCAAATAAGCTGGGTCATCCTGGCACAATAAAGTTCAATTTGGAAATACAATACAGCTTTTAGATTCACTTCATTAAAGTATAACAGGTGAATTGGTTGGAAAACTCCTTCAATATTTTCACATTATTGCACTGAAAAGTGTTCAGGAATTGAAGCCAGGAATTCCTGAAAGAATTCAACCAAGTGTATCACACAGAAAGCTTACATAAATCTGAATTGTGGCCAATCATACATGGCCTGTCAGTTGCAAAAAACCAAAATATGTATGTCAAGTCCCATGGGGCCCGAACGAGTTATGCGCGTTTCTGATTTATCGGATTTATTTTTCCGGGAAATGCGTATTGTTTCAACAGGATACTCCTGTTGGCCTATATGTACCTTTAAATATTTGTGGAAACTCGAATTACGTAAGTTATTGTATCGGAAAAGCTTTTCCCCTGATTGCTGTCACATAGATTATGCCAAGCGTAAAGTAAATGGACGCTCCTAGTGGAAAAATTTTCCGCTAAACCCGAATGACGCACTCTTTTGAGAGACATATGCAGTTCATATAGATATCTGGATGATTAATTGGTGTCCAACAGGGACGAACATGCTCTTTGACAGGTGTCGCCAGGATGTCGGCGCCTGCTGTTCTAGCCCATCTCTATAAAAGGGGGGAGATCCTTTTGATTTATTATTGCACATTTCGTGTTATGGCCGAAATAAAGGCGAAATACGGGAAAATACAAATGGAGAATGTAATAAAAAATCACCAAAGTAGAAAGCGTTGGCTTTAAATTAAAGGTCAGGCCAGGAAAACAAAAAATATAGAAGTTTTCAGTAGCATTCATGAATTAAATCGTATAAAAACCTCGATAATAAATTGTCAAAGAAAATCTAGTTTAAAAAAAATGGAAAAAGGGTCTAAATAATACGGTTTATAATACATTTTAAGATTTAAAAGATTTAAATGTAATCCCTTGATTTAATATTTAATCGACTTTAAAAAGTTGAACAGCCTGTAAAATATTAAATAATTCATTTGGGTTTTATGGGGACAGTAATAAAACCAAAGCAATAAATCAACAAAAGGCAATTTTATAGTCAAGCAAATAATGTAAATTTACTCACTTCTCCCAAGGCTGCAAGTCCTTGATTTAAAATGTATTCTGGCATTAACAAATCTGTCCCGCAAAGTCATCCCAACTTCAGACCCATGAGAATCTAATATTCAGCAAATAATGCATATGGAATTTAATAAAAATTCACTTACAGTTCCTTGACCCCGACGCCAGTTGTGAATTGAGAGTGTCCTTGAATTATGCTAATAATCTCGGACCGACGGGGTTCAGGCAAGTTCAGTTTTCACTCTGACTTTGGTTTGGTTTCTTTTCTGTCCCAGAGAACATGTCGTTGTCGTCGTCAGTGTAATTGTGATGATTGTTATTTGATTTCTTCTTTATTAGCCGGTCCTTTATAGTCCTGGCTGGTGGAACAAAGGTCTCATTGTCGAGTCCTCGGCATCAGTTTCGTTTATGGTTATAAGTTACTGGGCTCCCTGAGCCATCAATTTTGATGGTTAAGCTTACGCCAGGCACATCGATATCGAAGGCAACTCGAGTCGGCGGGGTCTTCAAGTGCCGGAAAAACTGTCACCCATCATCAGGGTTAATGTCGCGTGTCCGCAGCTCACGCATCTCCTTTGCTTTTTTGCACACCTCCCCACCCTTTGGGCCATATTATGGCCATCAATATACGCGCACATGCCAGGCACAGGCACTTTGGTATATTGCTTACCTCAGGAGTTTCCGACGGATTTTCGGCAACTTTTCCATTATGCTGAATGAAAAGCAAAGTTGGGGGAAAATTATCCTTACACCACGTATACATAACATACATATATGAATGCGTATCACCTGTTAATGCGCCAAAAGGCTTTTACTTGGCAAATTGCATATTATATCAAGGCTTTCATTGAAAGCTAAACGGATAATCCTAAGGGAGAAGTGTAATTTCAAAGGAGAATATAATTTGATGTGTAAAATAGAAGTGTATAATTAGCTTAAAAATATAATACTTAATTTTTATTTTGCTTTATTTCATTCTGTAATATCTGTATGCACACGTAAACACCAATCAAATTAATGTGTTTTGTAGCCTTAGACAAAGAAACCTGTTCCAAAAACAAACAAAGTCATTGACTGATGAATGGCTGGACGGGTGGGAAAGGGCTGATGGTAATGGATAGCCCAACATATGGCTTCAATTTAAATATAAACACGTGTATCCTACACACAAAATGGCATATTGTTTTTACACTAAAGTTCATTTTTAAGTGTTGAGGCGTGTGTATTTCAATTGAACTTTGAAAAGGGGAAAGGACAATTACCCATTGAAAAGGAAAGTGAAGATTTATGGTAAACTCACTGTTAAATATTAAAATATTAAATTAATTTAGTATTTATTATTACAAGATTTAGATAGCATTAAAATTAGAATGTAGAAGAAATTATCGATACAAATCGAACGCCCTATAAAAAGTTATCAAAGGATATATGTACAAATATCGAAAATAAAAAACCAATTAAAAAACATTCTAAAGTTTAAGAAAAATGAAATTTAAAATTTGTAATTTTCCTTTTTAATGTTAAAATTTAGATATTAATGTTATAATCGAAATTGCTAATGAAACAAGTAAAATTTTGTTCGATATATCAAACAGAATATCGATTTATCGCATATATATCATGAACAAAAAATCGAATTATATCTTTGGTCTTTGGTTAAGTATGGATATCAATATTTTTATCCCTAATATAAAATTTAATATAAAATGTATACCAAAAAATTATTGCTTATTAGCAATATTATCAAAAATTATCGATATTTTAAAGTTCTTCTTGATCAATAAATCGATAACTTATTGCAAATTAAACTCTCTTTTTTAGTGGGTATTCCATAGTCGATTTTTGACTCGGTGAAATGGCTATCACTTGCTTTTATTAACTTGTTGGCCGAAACTGATATTTATCAGATTTCAACCAATTTTAATACGTTTGTTTGTCTCTGTCTTCCCTGGTTTTTTAGCACGTTCTTGTGGCGCCAGTTATTTGCATAATTAAAGACGCTCCATAGATGGTGGGCGCGATAAGGAGTGACTAGGAATTCAGACGACGACGAAGCCGATGATGATGATGATGATGGCAGGTAAGTCACGGTCTATTTATAATGGTTTATTCTATAATGGGAATGGGAATGGGGTCGAGGGGGGTGGCTGACATTTGCAATGCAAATCGATCCAAATCGATGTAGTTCGAAAGCGGCTAACAAATTTATACGAGTGGCGCATGCTAAAAATCTTTCTCTGTCGCTCAATCGATGGGTTCCACCAGTTTTTTTTGCATTCCACGGGGAATTCCTGATCGAGTTAGCTTTTGTTTTGGCCAAACAAAACAGCTGGCCCATACATACATAGATGCGTCCGGATATCTAAGCTCTAAGCCAGTCGTAAAAGAGCTCGTAAAATCGTATTGTCAGGGACATAAACTTGGCAGTGGCGGACCACAAGGCACAGGCAAACTAATTAATTGCAAAGAGTCTGGCCGTAAAGTTGGCAATTGGCAAGGCGGAACTACTAACTATGGACCAATTTGGAAGCAATTTACTTGTGTGGTTGCCCAGACTGTAATTATAGCCTGATGTTGTCACAAAGGCGACGACGCCCCAATAAGTTTAGCTGCATCACCAAGGCTGGAGATGTTAATATAATAGAAAAAGTTGTATTTTTAAAACCATATAAATTCTGTAGTTGACATCCTTCTTCATATGTATATTTATACAAAGCTGTTTTTCTGAATTTAATTCCAACACAGTGATGTTTGCTTAAAGTATTATGAAGAAATAAAGGAAATATTCAGTGATAAAGTTTACTAACAGGTGATGTAAATAATAAATAAATTATTAATACTGCAGAATGTATATTAAATGAGGTACTTATATATAAATAAAAATCTATATTATGATACTTTTTTGTTAAAATAACAATCTAAATTTATATTCACACATTAAAGTTATAAATTAATATATAAAAATATGAAAATGCTTAACTTTACATTAGGCTACAGCTTAAAATGTAGAAAATAATTGAAATAAATAAGTAATAAATAATTGAGCAGCCATTAAAGTCTTAAATAATTTAAGAAACACCAAAAAAGTCTCTTATAAAATTCCTTTTATGACTATCCTGTGTCTGTGTAAATGTCTGTGATATACTGACACGTGTAACGAATTTAAGAAAAGTTCCTACATTCCCCCCAGGTCAGAGTTCATGAAAGTCCCTGAATATTCAGCAGATTTCCATAAATGTTTCAGTAGCTCGTGCCGCATGTGTGTGAATCATAAAAAGTAAGAGAGGGCATATAGGTATAGGTATCAAATGATATGCACTATATAGTATTTTATGGCCAGAGCTCCGCAATTTATTTCAGTTGGCTGCCTTTGAAGTGCTTTTGCTTTGCATTTCCCCCGTGCACTTATCTAGAATGCATTTATTGTATGGATATATATGTATATATAGGGGCTTTAACTCTGGCATTGACATTGACTTTAACCTCGCGCTGCAATCGATGATAACAATATTGCATCCTTCGAGTGCTCAAACAAGGCGCTGCCTGTTCCTAGACTCTAGAGCTTAGCAAGCACTTGAGATATTTGAGATACTCAGTTGAGATTCTGGCTGTGGCGATAACTTTGCCAAACCACTCACTATCAGATTGTCCTTGGTGGAAAATTGAGCAGAATGGCTGGAAAACTTTACCAGCAGGATAAGTTAAGGAAAGTTTACATCAAATGCGAGCATTACAGCCAAGTTATGGATGCAAGTCACCAACTCTAGTTGAGCTTAGCATCTGTTGCCGGAATTTGTCAAACTTTTGTCAACTTCACAAAAGGAGGAAATCCTCTTCCGGCCACAGAAAGCTGAGCTGTATGGAAACGGATTTATGCATAAATATATTCACTCTACTTTCCAGAAGTGAGGAGTTATTTAGCAAACAAATAAGTGGAATTTATTGATAAATATTTGAGGTGATGAGCCTTTGGTATTTTCAAATTTAATATCAAAAGCAAGGGCTTTGGCATATTACGTTAATTAAATGATGTGAATAATGCCATGCACCTAATGAAATAATGGAATTATGGGGAAATGTGGAGAGAACAATGCTATTATGATATTTGTTCAGTATTTGAGGGTCATCCTGTGGCATTGTTTGAATAATGTGAATTCATTTGTAATAATAAAATAATCTGCCAATTTGTAAACTATTGAATTGTTTGTGTTAGAGTAGCTGAGTTTTAGGATTTGTTAAATTATATTTGAGTGACCGGATAAAGCGCAGATGCTAGTTTTTAATTAAATTTGCTTTTTATAATCCTCTTAAAATGAAAAACCTTTTTAAATAAGTACTTAGACATTAAACAAAAAAGACCCAAAAATGTTTAGAATATTTGTTTAAAGTCTGCATGAGTGTTGTGTTTATATATACTTTTGTTGTAAAATTAAAAAAAAAAAAATAATAGAGAACAAAGAGCTTATGAATATATTTTCAAATTGGTTTAATCTGACCAGGCTTTAGTTTGTATATTAATTTTTAATTTAATGATTTTATATACAGCAAAAACCAAATGCTACAAGGTACTTATCACAGAATTTAATAGGCTTAAAAATATATTTTGAATTTAATTAAATTTTTACCTGCTTAAGCGTCTTTTTTAATACCTTTGTTTCACTTTCTCAACTAGTACATGTTAGAAACAAAACTATGGTTAAATTTTCATGTTCTAATTAGATGTTACTTTGGCAACCAGGTCACAGTGGTTTTGATGTGTGTTACCTCCATGGTTTAAGCTTTAATTAAGGTTTGACTTTAGTGTGTTTGCTGTGATATAATTAAAAGACTTTTTGCTTTGATTTAACTAAGGTTTTTGTTTTCAATTTATTTAGGCATTTTCTTTAAGTTAGGGTCAGGTAGCTGGTGAGGAGTTAAGTCTAAAAGTGGGCCACAAAGGTGTTAGGGTCGATCACGCGGGCCACCTCCCACGGATGGACAACCGAGGGTCCTGGAATGCGATTGTAGGCATCTGCAAGGAACAAGGAATGTTGGCCAATCAGTTGACAGTTGACAGTTCACAGTTTGCCAGGAACTAACTGGTTATCTGGGGCACACTCACCGATTATCTTTTGAATGGCAGTCTGGGCATCCAGCAGCTGGGGCGGCGCGGGGGCGGCACTGACAAGGATCAGGACGATGGCAACGAAGGCAAAGGCGGCGGCAAGGAATTTCGACATATTCTGGCTTTGGCTTGAGGTTTCGCTTAGCTATTCTTGCGGTTGGTTTGGAGTCTAATTGATTCGGCCGGGACCGCAGCTATTTATACCCCCACCCGAAGCTGGGGATGTGGGATCGAGATAAAAAGAGAGCCGGGATGAGCAGCTTCTTGTTCCGGAGCAGCTGTTTAGAAATTGGATTTCTTGTTTTGGTTTTCTGGTCGACGGGCGGCGGCAGCATCTGTGTCTACGCGATATTTAATCCGCGGAATGTCCGCACTCGAAGCGGGAAATCAAGTTTCGCAAAAGAACAAACGAATCGCTTTGGGAATTCTAAGACCAAAAACCTAAAAACACACATCGAAAGGAAAGCAGAACAATGTAGAATAATTTGTAGAAAAAAGTAGATGCAAATGTATTATCATTTTGACTATTCATAATTTGAGTCCAAATTTGGGCTAAAGAAATGCTGAATACGGAAAAAGATTCAACACAATAGTCGAGTGATCTTTATAATTTATGAGTAATATATTTAAAGATTTTATTTGACAATAGAGAAATGTTTTTTTTATTAATACAACTTAACCAGAATTTAATATTAGAACTCTAGTTCTAGGGTATATTATTTGTAACTTTAAGAAACATTATTTGTTGATTCATTTATTAAATTTCTTATTCAAATAACTACTCAAATAATCAGACCACTTCCTAACTCTTCTTGGTACTATACCTTCCATCTAAGCTAGAACCCGTTGGGAATTCTAAGCGTCAATGCAAACAAAAACATATTAAGTGCTGAAAGATTTCCTTTTTCCTTTAAGAATTTCTTCTTGGAATACTTAGTAATATTTATTTCTTTTAATTTTTTCTATTAAAATATTTTCTTTATATATTTAACTGGGTACCAAAACAGTCGAGAGACCTAGAAGCCAAGTTTATTGAATTACATTCTGCTGTGTGTGTGTTTTATTTTTTGAATATATTTGCCATAACATAAACGCTTTGCATATGACAGTTCATTGTACGAATGCGATGAAAAAATCTCTGTTTATATTTTGTTTTGTTCTGTGATCTTCTTTTTATGTCGTTCTACAGACGGTTTGGGCATTTCCAACTACCTCAAAAAATGTCGGCCAGATGAAAGAATCTTTCGCTTGGTTATTTGTCGCCATTTAGCGATGGCTTTTTGTTGCTTTTGCTGCTGTTTGATGCTGATTTATAAACAAACCTGTTCGCTTAATTTGCCGCTGCAAAAGAAAGTAAAATTTTGTGGTATTTTGTTCGTTTCATAAATTACGTCAACTTGGGAATTTCTTTTCTGGCGTGGCGGCAAATTAGAAAAAAAATTCATCTAAAATTGGTTGCAAAATATAATAGGAATTCTTTTGGGACCCCGCCGAGCCTGAACCATGTCTGCGAAAATTGATTGGAATTAGTATTTGCTGCGGAGGAGGCCGTGTTTTGTAATCAGTCTAAGATATGTAATGCTAATGCAGACACGTGCCCCACTGACAATCTTGTCAAAGACCCCCAATAGAAGAAAATATATATTCAGATACATAAGTGCGTGTCGGGCTGAAGGCAAAATTTAGCCCGGAAAATGGAGGCCAGGCGGCTCCGGCTCCGTCCGACACATGGCAATTGTTGGTTGAAAATACGGAAATACCTATAGAGTAGAGTGGGTGGCTAATGAGGCACCCGTAAAGCCTCTTATCGCAACGTTTATTGCCCTGTCAGACCGGCAAATAATTGTGATCTATGGAAGCGAACGAGTGCGAGTTCATATTAATAATAATAACAACCTAGAGCCCCCTACTTAGGGCTATTCATAATTTTTTCTATTTGTGCAACCGTACCTAGAATCCGCGGAGTGCAATGGTATGTAAATTTTTCCAACAATAACGCTGAAAATAAATAAATAATTTTAAATATACAGAAACATAAAAAGTTACTACAAAAATTATTTATGACGCTGCCCAAAAGTGTGTTACAAAATGTTTAACCATAAATTCAATATTTCATAGTGCAGTTTAAATTGATTTGAAATCGTTAGCTTATTCTGTTTAACAATAGGCTATAGAAAAAAATGTAACCAATTATTATATTTCCTCACAATAGCAATGACTATGTTAATTAACCCCCTGCATTGCTTTGAAAATAACTAATTGGAACAAAAGTTGCATACGGAAACTGATTGAACTTTTGTATTGATCCACTGCACTTTAAAAATAGTTACTAATTAGAGAAACAGTGGTCTAAAGGAAAAAATTGAACTTTTCTAATTTATAAACTCGCATTAAATTCAATGCAACAAACTTTTAAACTCGCCAAAAAGTATGCAACTATCTGCGCGCTCAATGAACTGAGTATTCAATGGTCGGCACCCCTTTTATTTGCATACAGTTTTATCTCGCTTAATTTGGGTCGTGTGCAAATCAGACACACATATGGATATATATTAGCTTTGGGTATTTAAAGCCCGAGAAAGAACAAAACAAACTTGTGCAAATAGCTAAGTAACAGCTAAGCACAAAACCCCTGGGCCTTTTTAAATTATACGCTAATAAATTAGTATTTGTATTTCTTTGTTTTTTGCTTGTCCTCTCATGGGATAAGTATACGCATGTCTGTGTGCTCTTTAATATCTTTCCTTTTATTTATTTTGCGTAAGCAAACCAGCCCCAAGGCAGCTAACACGCTGCGTATGCGTAATGTGAGAAAGGAGCTTATCAAAATGGTGAAGAAAGTATTTCTATTTAGTAAATTTAAAATATGATATTAAGATTAGACTCTGACATGACTTGATTAATTTCTCTTTAATTACGTTACCAATTAGCCTGCAATGTGAGCTTCAGATTTTTCTTAAAATTTACTTAAATTATATCTCAAAAGGATGGACAATATCTGGTGTACACAGTCAAAAATTGTCTGTCTCAAGATTAATGATGATGCGTTAGTAATTAAGCGATTTAGTACAGCGTAATTAATACGGCGTGAGGTCGGAGCTGCCAGAAAAATGTGTTCTATTTAATTATGTATATGTATGTATTCTACCGCTTTGATGTTGATTAATCGCCGGGAATGTCAAGCCATTTATATTAGCCGATGATAGACTTTAATTTTTGTGTACTTTCTTTAAGTAAGTTTTCCTAGTAAGCCTTGAATATCCATAGAACTTTTCCAATCACTTTTTGCTTTGAGCTTAGAGGGAGAGAGTTGGAGTGGTTTGGGTCACTTAACCATAGACAATGTAAAGCTATAATCGAATTTTTAAAGCATGTTTTTGACAGCCACACATGAGCATGAACATGAAACATGAACATATTAAATACACGTGCTGATGTAAAATTTATCAGAGTTTCAGGAGCTTGCTGTATTGATGGATTTCCGACTCAGCTGGCAGGTGAAAATCGAATTATTGCAAAGTTAATTTCCTGGGAACCATTATGCGCTGCGGCCACGAAAAAGTTTCTTGACTAATACTTCCAAAGTTTCCGAGGGCTCAGGAAGAGGACACGTAATTTGCATTGAGCAACTTGGAAATAATTCATGAATTTCACTTTATTCTTAACCAAAGTTACTAGAAAAGCATAAGTAGGGAAGACCTTCTTAGAAATACCTGGATGTAAGCTTATAAAACTCATAGCACTTTGTACAGCCTATCCACTATTTTGATCTCTGCGACTTAAGGATTTTTTGTGTCCTAAAATCTGGGTTTGAAAATTTGCAATAAAATCTGTTTAATTCTGGTAACAGATGTAAAAGCAACTACAGCGACAGCAGCTAGGAAAATTCGAATTCCTAAAGCTAGATGTTGCCAGGGATTTACAAAGTGCAACTCGCTTTTGACTAAATAATCACTCTTACCATTCCTAGGAAAATCCATATGTGCATACAATTTAACTGCTTAACACATCGATCAAAAATCACGTATTTATGGCAGGTGTCGCATCTGCAACAGATTTAATTTTAATTAAAAATCCTTGAGCGTTCAGAAGAGTGCATAAAGTATGTAATTATGGCCCTTAATAAGGGCCCTACCTGAGATTTTATAATTTAAATCCTCAGTTGACAGCTGTCAATAATATTTAAAGGTTTTTTTTGGAGAGCGAGCTTAACTTAATTGATGCCAGCAATAAATATGTTTCTTTTACATATAAAAAATGTTATAGTATAGTGTACTTTTATAAATAAACATATAATATATCAAAGAATTTTTACTTTAAGATAAAACCTAAAGGTAAGATAGTAACATTTAGTTTTAAAATAAATTTTAAACTAGAATTTCATCTTTAAACTTATACCATTGCTTTACTAGGTAAAGAATACTTAATAGAACTCTAGGTACGTGTACCTAGGAGGGTTTCCATCCCATCACTACTAGACATTCTCAGTGTCCTGGCAAAGCAGGCTTAAGCCTTCAGCAAGGAGCGAGCAAAGCATATGCTGCCTGTTTGTCTTTGGGATGGCGGCGTTCATGCATAATTAATCACTGCGTGACGCCGTCGGGAGTTGAATCGTGTGTGTCAGTTGACATGGCCGAGCTTTTTTATCATTGCCACAGACGACAGGCCGCTATATTTATCTTTTCACTTCGCCTCTCCGCCTTTCCGCCGGTGCAATCTCTGGCGTCATAAGCGATCCCTTCCGAGACACGTTAAACAGGATGCAGGATAAGAGTGAGAGAGCATCCCTAGTTTGGGGAAAACGATGTTAATGTCAAGTGGCTGCCCGAGCACGTCTTGGTGCGATAATTGTTGGCGTAAATCATGCAGAAGAGCAACAGAAAAGAAAATGCTTACAGTACGAAAAAAAAGTATATAATAACATAGTGTTAGTTGTGTTACTTCTAGCTAGAAAAGCTCTCTCAACACACCTTAAAAAAATAAAATATATTAGGGAAAATTTCTTTATTCAATTGAACATATTTTGATATTATATTATTATAATATAACAGGAAGAGAGAGGAATATGCTAACCCATATGCAAAGCTCCTTCAGAGAGCATCTAAAAAGAAACTCTCTCGTTCGCTACTTTTTGTATATTGCAAAGCGTGAAAAGGAGTAGCCCCAAGAAAGCGACAACTGCTCTCATGCTTAAGGAAAGAGCGCAATGGTAACAATATAACAGGAATAGAGAGGAAGCTTCCACAGAGAGCATCAAAAAAGAAACTCTCTCGTTCGCTACTTTTTGTAATGCAATGTGTGGAAACGAGTAACCCCAAGAGAGCGAAAACTTCTATCATACTTAAGGAAAGAGCGTAATAGTAAAAAGGATAACTGGCATGTTGAGAATTTTATGTAAACAAGGATCTTATATCTATAAAAATCATATTAATATTTTATACATAATTTGGGATTTTTTCTCCCAGTGATTTGACTTGACCTGTTGTCGAGTTTCTGAATCATAGCAAGTGACATCCGGAAAATCGTTGGCATTAGCAGGGACATTTTACTTGGTCGCCCCATCGCCGCATAATTGAAATAAATATCAAGCTCGTGTCATCCTCGGGGCTTTTGGTCGAAACGGAAAAGTGGTGAGGTGGCACTTTATTGAAATGTGTTTGCTTATTTGAAGGCAAACACAACCAAAGTGCCAGTTGCGTTTATACTGGGAATTGATTTTAATGGAAATATTTACATTTGAGTAATACAGCGGCATTTGGGGACTTTTGGCAATTGGAAACTGAAAAGCCAGACTAAGTGCTGCCTTGTATTTGCTGTTATTTTTCCCCCAAAGAAACAAAGTGTTGAATGGTTGATGTTAAAATGTTCTTACATTTCTCAAATTAATGCGCACCACAACAGCGGGTGGAAAAATTATGCAAATCACGTAATTTTTATTTCCTGCCGTGTTGAAAAGTCAAGACGACACGGTTTTTGATTCAAGCTGATACGAGGGCGGGAACGGGGGGTGGTTTTTGTATTTTTTTTGCCCAGTTTTATTGCAAACACGCGCGTAGGTAGGGTCTTTTGCCAAAATATACTTGACTTTATGAGGGGTTCTTATGGTTTAATGGCTATTTTATGATATTTTTGGGAAATTTTTAAAGTGTATTTTCAACAACTAAGTAATTTCTTTTGAAACAACATTTTCTAGTAGTAAGTAAGCATTGCCTTATTCTTATTTTTCAAATTCCCCGCCACTCTTGCCTCATCGTCATCGCTATCGATAGTTATCGCACATGCGCAGGAGTATCGATAGGCAAACAGCTGGGCGCTGGTGTATACTTATCCAATATGGCTGCAAGTAAAAAATTTTAACGAAAAAAAAATCGGAGAAAAATGCATCTTGCATTGAAATTTGTGCTCGCATTTTAAGCAAATAAATCAAAAAACCGTAAACAAGACAAAGGCGAATACGAAAACACCGGAAAACCGAGTGCGCGTTAAGAAATCTGTGCGGAAAAGAGATAAACGTATAAATACGCCGGTGGCCCCGCCAAAAAAAAGAGACTCCCCCCTTCCACTTTTGCAAAGTGATTGCTTCCTTTTGAGAAAAAAACGAAAAAACGAAAATAAATAGAATAAAATCCAAGCGTAATGGAGGCAGACATAACGCCCGTGGCAGAAACTAATGGAACCGCCGGTATTAGTCCCGAGCTGCGCGAGAATGCTCAGGGAAACCCGGAGCCACAGCAACAGGAAAGCGTCAAATCCCTGGATGGCGGCGCTGGAGCTGTGGGCGGGATTATGGATTACCTAGAGGTGCGTTGAGCTTAGAGATTTGGAGGAAATCCACACACTTCACGGCTTATTTACTTTATTTTGCAGGATTCGGAAGCCACTACTGGAAATCAGGGGGCAGAGGCGGAATACCTGGACGAGGAAATGCCAACGGAGGAGGAGAAGGAAGCCGATGCATCAGGCAGTGCAGGCGGAGAGGAGGCGGAGACTAGCAATATCGAGGATTCCGAGAAAACTGCAGCTGCCGATGGCGGTGAAGAGCAGCTAAAATCCGGTGAAGAGGGTGACAAGGAATCTGAAGATGCTGCAGCAGCTGAGGAAAAAGAAGAGGCAGAAGTCACTGGAGAAGAAACAACAAAAAAGGTGACTGAAGCAACCGCTGGCGAAGAAGGAGACGAGGATGAAGCCGCCAAGGGAGAAGGAGAAGGTCCAGAAGCCGACAAGGATGAGGAAGAAGGTGAAGACGAAGCAGAAGATGAAGGCGAAGATGCCGACGGCGAAGAAGCCGACGAAGAAGATGAAGATGGAACTGAAGATCCCACCGAGGAAGGAGAAGAAGTTCTAGAGCCCGAGGCCAGCGACGAAGAGGGCGAACTAATCACCGGCGATGAGCCCGGCGAACATGTCGATGGCGAGGCCACAGCAGCTCCCACTCGCGAGCGCAAAATAGAGGAGGTGGTGGATGAGAACCAGTGCCGCGTCTGCACCAGCAAGGAGGATCTAGTCGACCTGTTCAAAAAGCAAATCGATGCCACGCCCGCGGACATGCTGCTGGTCATATGCCCCAGTGTCTCGATTTTGCCCAAGGACTTTATGCCCCAGTTCATCTGCACTAAGTGCCTGGAGAGCCTCACCATTGCCATACAGCTGCGGAAGCAACTGGAGACCACGGACCAGGATCTGCGCAAGCGCTTGTCCCGCAGCAAGAACAAGGTGCGGCGTCCCCGCGGCTACGTGGTCATCGATGCACCAGTGACCGATTCCAGTGAGGATGAGGAGGAGCTCGACGACGAGTTCAAGGTATCCGATGTCGGTGGATCGACAAGTGCGGATAGCGATTCCGTAGACTCTGATGCCAGTTCGCAAATGAAGGAGAAGAAGAAGCCAGGACGTCCGCGAAAGACCCCAATGAAGAGGAGTAAGGAGGAGGACGACGATGAGGACTCGCCCAGTGTCCCGAAGAAGAAGTATCCAACCACACCGGCAGCGTCTGTCGGTCCATTTGAGTGCGAACACTGCGACTTGACCTTCTCCCGCAAGCAATCCTATGTGCTGCACCGCAAGACCCACGAACGGACGGAACACACTTGCCCCATTTGCGGCAAGAAGTTCAAGGTGGAGTGGGCCTACAAGACCCACATGGAGCGGCATGAACAGGAGCGTGCGCAGTTCCGCTGTGAGCTGTGCTCCCAGGTATTCCGACTGCGGGCGGAACTCAAGCGCCATATGGCCGTAAAGCATGACGAGCATGGCTTCATCTACGAGTGCAAGCGCTGTCAGAGGACCTTCCTCACATCGCAACGGTTGCAGCGCCACCAAGCCATCGGCTGCCAGCGGCCCAGGGAGGAGGTGCGTATCAAAGAGGAGCCACGTATCAAAATGGAGCCACGCATTAGCCATTCCCACGGCCATGGTAACCACGGCAAGCGGCGCCCCGGTGAGGGTAGAGACCTATTCAAGGCCGTGGCCCCACCAACCACCACTTACTGGAGCGACAGCTTCTCGGACTAGGATGGCAAAATGCAGTTTTAATCAACGATTTTACGTTTCCCTTTAGATGTAAGAAATATAAGTGCAAACAAATCACATTTGTAATAAATACAAAAGTAAGATAGGTGGACACAATATGATGTTTAAATACACACTTCTAAGCGGTTAAGTGAAAATAATCAAATAAAAACTATGATTTATGGTAAATACTGTACTTCCCAGGCTGTAATTCTGTTTCAGTGAGTGTTAAAGTTTAGGAATTTTAATCAAGCCAAGTTCTATTTGCAGACATTCAAATAAAAGTTTGCTGTCTTTCCAACTAAATTTCTTGTCAGCCACAGCAAGTGAGTTTCCAGAGAACTTGATGCTTTCCTAAGTTGGCCATAATCTGACATTTCATGGCAGCGCCTTACTAGAAGTATAGCATTTGCCCCCCATAAATTGTTGAAATGAAAATGGGTAAAGAAGATTACATAGTAGGAGTGTAAACTTGATGTGAAAATGGAGCTTCAAAAGAGCATAAATGCTGTAATGCAATGCAGCTTTATAAACCAAAATTGTGTCCATTTAAACCAAGCTTTGCGCTGTTAAATAGCTGCATTTAATGCTCATTAAAGGACGGCAAACTGCATTGCAGCACAATCATGACCACAATTTAGATGGCAAACGACGCTAAAATGCTGCTAGGGGGACTCGTAACAACAAAAGTGTAAGTGCAGGGATTATACATATTCACCCAGCCAGTCAAGTGGCTGAATTGCAGGGAAATGTGGGTATTTGCAGGATGAAACATTATAATAGGATATTATCAAATGCATTTATGAAGACTTTAACTTGCTATAAACTAAATCTAGGTTTTAAAAAATGATTAAGGTTTATAAGTTATACAATTTTCAACAAAAAAACCTTTTTATGAGGTAAGATTAAAGTGTCGATTTGCACTTTCTTTACAAAGTTTATGATTTAAATATTTATATATTATTTTATTTTATTTTTATAGATAATATGGACATTGTCAAGTGTTCTTTTTCTTTTTTATTTTTATTTTTTTGTTTATAAAATTAACTACAAGTTCTTTTTTCGCTGTGCTGTGTGGCTTCGTTTAACTTTAGAACCACACAAAGTTCCAAGTTTAAGAGCTATCTGCCCACACATTTAAGGGGGTCTTCTCATTCAAAAGCCGTTTTTTGGACGCTTTTTAAAAAAATTCTTATTTGAAAACGCAAAGAATAATTGAAAACTTTTTTTATTTATTGTATTCAAAAATGTTCAAAGTAACTAAAAAAGTTGTTCTTGCCTCGATACGAGGGTTGTTCAAAGAGTAATGAGACTTCAAACTTGGTGGTCGAAAAAAAGGTGTCGTCCTGGCGGCCACGATTCAGGGTCTCCAGAGCGTCCGAAATGAAAAATAAAAACGGGGTTATAATCAGAATTGATGTCATTTTCGGGTGACGGAACAGATTTTTTTTTAAATTTTTTTAAACAAAATGGCGGCCATTAAAAAAAAAATTTCGATTTCGGGCTTTTTTTTTGTAGTTTAGTGTAAAAAAAAAATAGAAAAAAAAATTAAAAAAAAATCTGTTCCGTCACCCGAGAATGGTGACAATTCTGCGTCGACTCCACTTTGTTTCATGAAAATCGGTTCAGTTGAACTGGAGATATCATGGCCGCCAGTTCGAAAAACGTGGTTTCGAGATAAACGCGTTTGAAGTTTGAAAAAAGCTCATTTTGCGAAGAACTTGCTTCACAAAAAAGGCTGTATCTTCTAAAGTATTTCGAATTTCTAAAAATCCTTTTGGGGACATATACACACCATCCCTAACTATAAATAAATGCAAAAAAAAAAAAATCGAAAAAAAAAAGTTGCCCAATGAGAAGACCCCCTTAAAGATGATTAAAGGACCACAAAACCAGCAAAATGTATATTTTCATATAAAATTTACGTATATTTACAAAAGCAGTTGGTTTGCTGACAGTTTCCAGGAAGAAGGGACCGATGCAAATACAAATTTCTGGGAATGCTATTGCAGGATTTTAGGATTCTTGTGCGCTGCTATTGCTGTTGCTGCTCACGCATCGTCGAAGCTCTTTAGAAGTGGTGGATGGAGTGGTAGGTGGGCAGGTGATAGGACACCGAGGACACCGGATGGTGGGCAATTAGGGGGGCGTGGGCAATGAGCGGTGCATGCGAGATGAGCGGCGCATGCGAGATTATGGGTGCATGGTGCACAACCGTTGGGGCAGACACGTAATGCGAATGTGTCAGCAGAGGGGCGTGGTAGCCCAGGCCCAGGGAGAGTCCTCGCTTGGCCTTCACGGAAGACTCCTGCTGCTGTTGCTGCTCCTCGGCGGCGGGAGCAGGTGCGGCCAGGATGCAGGCAGCGCTGGCGATGAGCAGTAGCAACTGTTGCGTGTCCAGGAATTTTCCATTAGCGTTTAATGAGCGAGTAAGGAGAAAATTGAAAATGTTGGCAGAAATACTTGAAATATTTGACTTGAGTTGCAAAAATGTTGTTATTTTTATTATTTTAAGGTAGTTTTTGTTGGTGTTTTTCAAAATGCTTACAGTGAACTTCATTTTGTTTAACTATTTATGATTTATGGTCTTGGGGACTCAACTTGAAGCTCCTTGCTGGCTGGCTTTAATTCAACTAACATCGCTGGCAGCCAGAACGACTTTATTTATACGATTTTCAAGCAGCTGCACGGATTGTTAGAAACTCACTCAAAACTAAGTCAAACGCACTCATTAGGCAAAAACTATTTAGGCCCAAAAATAAAGTAAAAATCTGGCAAAAAGTCAGCACAAGAGACGCACGCATTGAGAAAAAAAGATATGTATATATGCCCACATCAAGCCAAAATTGCACAAACAAGCCAAGCCAAGCCGAGTCGAAAAGTATCTGAGTGTGAGTATCTGAGTATCTGACAGAACGCCAGTCCCATGCGTGTGTTTCTTTTTAATTCAGCAAATTATTTCGAGTACTCACTTTGAGTGCCAATTGCCACCATAAATTATGTGCAGCTCTCAATAACTTCAATGGCCAAGTGTTCAAGTCATAAACAAACTGATTTTGATGGCCAATAGGCTGAGCAGGCTGAGTCTTCTGTGCTTGAACTTTAAAGCTTAAATAAACCCACTTTAAATTACATTTTAAGCCAATAACTTTAAAGAATTTTAAAATATAAAAATAAAGCAATAAATATCAATAAAACAATAATGTAATTTACATGCTCTTTAAATCTTATTTACAGATGAATAAATCCAAAACTAATCCTTTTATGCCCGATTTAATTGAAGAATTTATTTTTGTTTCCATTGCAAAAATATTCATTTTCATTTTGCTTTTGCATATATGCAAACTACCATGGTTTTCCATTTATCTCGTTTATAATCTAGGCAAACAATTTCAATTACTTTTTCAGCCAGCTGCCCAGCAGCTCTTGGGGAGACTCTGACAAATGGGCTCAATAAATTTTGTATGAGCATGAATTCCATTATGACTTGAAATGATTTGAACAATTTGTTTAAGCCATTACGCAGAGACGGCAACAAATGGTTGATACAATTCAGACAAAACACACAATCTGCGTTTACCTTGGCTAATTGAAAATGGTTGACTTTTCGAGTGATGGGAATCTCTCTTAACGTTTAGCATTTAAGTGGTAGTTCTCGCCTTTAACGGTCTTCATAATTAGGTCCTTGTTATGGCCTCGCAGCTTAACTGTTAAAGAATCGTTTAGCCAATTGGCCCAGCGGGAGTTATATGGCCTGAGTTCTATCCGATAACAGTCGCTAGTATCCAGGAAAATGTGGTAATAAAAAATGAGGAAATAAACTCACACACACACACACTTACACACTCTGGAGGCATATTTGACAAGCGGAACGTTAATTAACGGCATAGCGAATGGCTAAAAAGAGAAGATAGAAACGCGAAACAGCAGCTAGCAAAGGAAGAGCCTGGAGTGCCATTGCTGTTTATCTGCAGCTGTCAGTTGATGGCGCCATTTTGTTTCCCCAGTGCCTGTGTGTGTGTGTGTGTGAGGGTGTGGGGGTGAGCCGCTAAGGATGTCTGTGGGTGCGCCACCTGTTTAGACATATTCCTCAAGGCCACGTGCCTTTGAATTGAATGCGACTTGGCTAACTAGATAATTGCCAAGAGCCAAAGCCGCCAAGAAATGGCTAAGCAAAAAGCCTTGACTTTCCCTACTTGGTAATTAAAACTTAATGAAAGAAAGCACCAAATGGGGAGTTACACGGCTTTAATAGATTCATTTTCTAGCGTGTCGGGTTTATTAATTCTGTGCAAGTGCCCTAAAAAGTTTTTTTTTTATTGATTTTGATTAAATAGAATCAAATTTTATGTAGAACACTTATAATTTAACTTTCTTTTAGAGTTTGACTTGTTTTAGGATTAATTTCTATTAGAAAATTTCATATATGACTTATTTTAGAAATTTATTCATAAATTTGCAACATTTATAGACATATATAAGGACTTAAAACTTAAACAGATTAATCTGTGGCAAGACAGAACCTGGGAAAAAAGGATGGTGTGTGGGAAGTTATTACTTTTACCAAATGAACTTTTGCCAGTAGAATTGATATTATATTTCCCCGAACTCATTTTTCATTTCGATTCAAAGTACAGTCACTCAGACTCATATTGCTAGCAACAGATGTAAAAGCGTTTGACAAAATCGAAAGGCCAATCGATCAACATCAAATGAGTCGAGACCACGAGTCCCCAGCCTTCCCCTCCATTGGAACTCCACCGAACCGAGCAAGTAATTCAAAATTATGCATACCAGATGAGGCAATGCAATGTGGAGTGAAGTAAAGTGGTGCCAGTCGGGGTTGCGAAACTGCTAACGGCCAACAGGATTCGAATCCAGATTCAAATTTAGATTCAGATTCGTCGGGGCCATTAGCCAAATGCAACACCTTTGATGACGTGTGGACATGTCGACATTGATTTGGCCAACTGAGTGATCTGGGTAGGCAGTGTCATATTGTCAATTGTAGGACAACTAGAGATAACTTTTCACAAAAGCAAACCGGATAAAAAAGGTCTACAAATGAGAAGAGTTTTGAGTTAAACCACAATTTCAAGTAATAATAAATAGTTCAAACCCTAAATGCCACATTTTCTGAGGGTTTCTTAGATTAAACTTACTATTGGTATTCATAATAATATATTTATAAATAAAAATCAATTATTCAATTTTAAAGATATTTTTCTCTGCATGTATTTGGTGTGTTTGCCAATTAATTGCCAACAACGCCCAGGCTGCTCTGCATCACAGGTAGACAGTCGGACAGGTGGTGCTCAGGCTCCACTTTTGCCACTCAAATATTTCGTTAATTATGCTGCACAGTTGCTTTTCCAATTCGACCAACAAATGTCAAACGCAAATATTTCGATTTGATTTTTGAGTTGGCCCACAAATTTTGGGTATAAATTCTGGTTGTTCTTGTGGTTTTCAGATGCCAAAAACATTTGCCTGCTATTGTTGTTGATAGGCGTGGGAGTTAGTTGCATGTCATTAGACTACACAATCTGTTGTTCACAAACATGTCATTTAACCAAGCTAAACAAGTTGCCAAACTATGGTTTTCCATGTGATCTGATTGTCTGCTTAATTGGGTCCCTGGTGGCCGCCGCAGCGCTTAGACAAAAGCAATTTTACACATGTGGTGGTTAACCTTCTATACAATTGAACTACAATGAGTCCACCTGACATAACATATGCATCATTAATTAAAATGTGCACAGAGAACAAATATATCTGCAGAATAAGATGCAAAAAAAAGTATCTATATGTTGATGATGTGTGGGCATTTAATGGGGATTTCGATTGAAAAATAAAGTTGCGATATATAAGCGATAAATCGATATACGTAAGGAAACCCTAAATATTGTTTAAATTATGATTCCTGAAAAAATATATAAGCTAACTATCAAAATATGTTTTAAATATGTTTAAAGAGACAAATCATTAAATTTGTACGCTTATATCGATATTCAATCATTAAATGTGATAGTTTTCGATATTTTCATTTTCGATATATCAAACTTAACGATATTTTCAATAGTATCAGTCTAAAAAACGCCATATCTTTTTCGATATATCACATTGAACCTTTAGTAAAAATACTCTTTTCCTTTTAAAATGTCTTTTTTTAAACTACCCTTTACAATTTACTAACATTTACCTTCTTTTTTTTGCAGTTTATTAATTTTTGATGTAAATAAAACCGCAAGGCTTATCAAACTGCGACAATGCAGGACACCAGCCTCAACATGACCCAATCGCATTTGCAGCCCCAAATGGCGGCCTTCAACAAGACGGTTCTGAAAGAGCTGCAGATAACCAAAACTGATATCGACAAGTTCCTGAAGTATTGGCAGGAATTCCAGAAGAAGAACATGTCCAGCCAGGTGGACGAGTGTCAGGGCTATTGTCAAGGTGAAATTTACAACTGGCTGCGCGCCTACAACAGCATCCATGGATACGTATCCCTGATGGTAAGTGCTTCCCCCTTTAACCCAAAAAAAAAAAACGCTATTCATGTTTTGGGGGGAAAACAATGGAAACTTTTGACTAATGACTGAGCTGCGAAGGCCAAGGCGCCTCATGAATGTAACCGAGAAAGGGTCTCGTCTCTGTCGGCTGATGAATTCAAGGGACGCTTTCACCTTTGAGCTCTGGCCCAAGTCCAGGATACTCCGTCCCTTTTTCGAATTAAAGCAATTCGGTCTGTTCAGCTCAAATTGCATTAAGTGGATGGAATGAGCCCTGAGTCCTTTGTTTTGGGGCTCTGGGTCGCTTTAAAGGGATTTGCTGAACGGATATAAATTATGTTTGATGTGGTTAAGGCGTTAATGTGTTTTTCCCTTTCATTTTAATTTCCAAACATTAGGTTTTTTTTTTGTTGCCTAGGAATCTTTTCAGCAAAACATTTTTCTTGCAGAGATTTTTTGTTTGTTGAAGCTTAAACTTAATCATTAAGCTTTATCTGACTGTTTTTCTTAGGGAAACTGAGTTTTCACTTTGAAGTCACTTTATTACGTTTCAAATAGTTAGAACAAAGTGAATCCTTTGGTTGTTTACCAAGTAAAATTTAATAGTTTGACTCAAGAAGTGAGTTAAAGTTACTCACAAAAGTTAAACAAAAGTTTGCTGTGAGAGAAAGTGTGAAATAAGAACCCATCGTACATCACGAGCTGAATGAATAAAACATTCAACCACTCTAAATTCCAAAAGGGGAGAATGTGCAATCAATTGAAAGAGTGTGAGAGCTCTGAAACATTCTTCTTTTCTACAAATAACACTCACATATTTTATCTACAGCCCTTGAATATTGCTTCTTGTTGTTTACTTGAATCACATAGATTTGCATATTCGGGACGATAGCAAACATCTTGAACATAATGGTTCTGACCAGAAAGGAAATGGCCAAGACGCCCATAAATAATATCCTCAAGTGGCTGGCGGTGGCCGATATGTTTGTGATGCTGGAATATATACCCTACACTTCCTATCAGTATATCTACATGGGGCCAGGTGAGAGGGTTTTATTTCGAAAATATATAGTAAAATAATTAAATTTCTAAAATATTTACTATTATTTTTTGTTCGACAGGTGAAAAGGATCTGAGTTACACCTGGGCTGTTTGCCTGTTGATCCACATGCACTTTACCCAGATCCTGCACACCATCTCGATTGGACTGACCGTAACACTGGCCATTTGGCGATATGTAGCCATCAGGTGAGTGGATCTGTAGGCCAGCATTGCATGATCTATCTCTAGTCCTGATACACACCCTCCTCATACATTTTGAGTTTCGGCATTGATTCATATTAATCACGCTAATCCGCATCCGCTATTCGAAACGACATCCGGCTAATATGATTAAAACTTCAATGTGGCATTATGTGGCTTCTCTTCTCTTCCTCCCCGTCTTTTGTTTATAGCCAAATGTTACCATCTCTATTCCACAGACATCCCAACGGGGGCTGTGCCAACTTCCTGCTCGCTCATTCCCGAGAGGCGATCCTCCTGCCCTTCATCCTGTCACCGATCCTCTGCCTGCCCACATATTTTGTGTTTAAGGTGCGCGAAACGTATGACGTGGACAGTGTCAATGCGGAGGCCATGTACCATGTGTATTTTGACCAGGATTCGGTTCTATACAGGTGAGATTGGGGGTAAAAATCCTTGTGTTAAGGTATAATTATTTATATTATGAATTCTAGGTTCAATTTTTGGATACATTCCGTGATTATTAAACTTTTACCCTGCGGAATTCTGATCGTGATCAGTGCCGTGCTCATGCATGTCTTGTGCGAGGCCTCCAGACGTCGTCTGAAGCTAAGGGACTACAGTAATCCCGCCAAGTATGCCATCCAGCTCAATCTGAATGAGTCCAAGTCCAAGAAGTAAGTACTAAAATATGTATATGTAAAAAAATATAAAAGAAAAATGGCAAGATATTGTAATAATATCGAAAAGATCGCAGCAAAAAAATATCGAAATTAAAAGCAACGCGAAAAACGAGTATTTCTTTGTTTTAGATTTAGAAATAAATTTCTGTTAAATATAAGGATTATCGAAAATACTAACAAAAATCTCAATATATCGTAAATTTATCGAAAAATCGTATAACAAATTATTAAAAATTTAAATTAATGATTTTAAAGGAAAATATAACATATTTTTAACCTTTCAGGCCGCCACGCTGCGATCGTCGCAATGATCGCACCACCCTCCTCCTGGTGGCCGTGCTGGTCCTCTTCCTGGTCACCGAGTTCCCCCAGGGATTGCTCGGCCTGCTGTCGAGCGTGATGGAGAAGTGCTTCTTCGCCCACTGCTATCCGCCCTTTGGGGAGCTAATGGACCTGCTGGCGCTGATCAACGCGGCCGTAGGATTCGTGCTCTACGGACTGATGTCGAAACAGTTCCGGACCACCTTCCGTTCGCTGTTCATGAAGCGGCACTTCGGCAGCACCGAGATGACCCGACTGACCCGAGTGACCACCACGTGCGTCTAAACAGGACTTGGATTCATATTAGAGATTGGTATCGATATCGATACCGCTGAGATGTGATTTTTAAAAGGCTCTGCAGAAACATTTTGTAGAGATATTTTTATGGGGACTAGGTGAAGGGCATCCAAGATGTTCAGGGCTTAATCCAACTAAGAATTTCTAAACCTTAAACTTTGTAAAAGTTTCGTTGCATTGCATAACGAAAAAAAAAGAAGAGAAACTGTGAGCCGGAATATATAAATTTTGGTTAAAGCAAATATCGGTTGACCTATTGGATTGATTTCCATTGATTATCCAAGAATTAATTCCGTTTGTGATTTGGCTGTTTAGCAAGTGCCATTTCCTTTCCAATTAAAATTAATTTCTAAGAATTATGCATTAACCAAATGGTGTTTCGAACTCGTGTCTTAGCCCGTAAGATTTTGCTAGGCTAAGCGACTAAGGTACTGAGATGGTACCAACACGACACACTTACTTTCCACAAAAACTAAAAATAAATAAAGTCTTATCATAACCGGAATCCAAGGATAGCTATGGCCAAGAGGACAGATAACTCTGTGAGCCCCAAGTTGATCTGTCTTCTTGGCTCGAAAAATCAAAACTTCGATCACTGGATTCCAGCTAAGCGCCAATGCATTACACATTGGCTTTTTTTATGAGAGTTTAATTACAGAATACTATTTAAACAGCTTATATTACGATTTACAAATAGGTGTGAACACACGTTCAAATAAATGTTTGATGTGAGTTTGGCGCGTTTAATAAATATTTATTTAGCGTTTAACATTTTTTGGGGAAACTGCTTTAATTCTACGAATCATCCAACTTCAGTTTTGGCTTACAACTGCATTCACCTCCAAGGGCAGATCATCTGGTGGTAGTTCCTCGAATCCATTTTGCCGCAAATCCGAGTCCTCTGAGTCTGCAGCATCCAGCAGGATGCCGTTGCCTTGATTCGATATTCTCAGAAGAGATTTCAGCTTGGTGGCTTGGAATTTGTACTGTTTGGGAAATGGAGAGCATTAAATGGAAGGCTTTATGGAATATTGGGTTGGTTGGGTTTGGTTTGGATTTCGCTACCAATTAGGGAAGGCTCTTTTCATTCACGTGCCGCAGCATACATCCACTGGGAGTGCTGGTATCTCAGGCGACTTACTTCCGTGGGCAGCAGCAGGTCCTGGGCCTGGCTCATGAACCTGTTGTATTGCTCGGCGGCCAGGGCCAGTCTTCCGGTTTCATAGCAAAACAGGGCAAAGTTCATCACAACCAAAGGATTCCGTACCGAGCCTTGCTGGCCACATGCCATGCCACTGGCCCTTTCCAGGGCCACGAATGCGTTCTCCAAGTCGTCCAGCTTACGTAAACACACTGTGGGATGGATAAGTATGGTTATTATTATTATTTTGAAGATGAAACAGAGGAAAATATTGAACAAGCAAATAGTGCAGAAGAAGGAAATTTTTTCCCTAGAATTTAGTGTATTTTTTTATGAGAAATATTTAACAGAAAATTGTAATTTATTAATTTCTTAGATTTTTGATGGTAGAACAACAATATTAAATATTTATTTTAATTAAAACAAAATATTTAGTAAGCTTCAGTAAATAAAAACATCGGAAAATTAATTTAATAGTTAAGAAATCTTAGGTAATATTTTATATAAAAATAAATTAAAAGTCAAAAGACAGCCCACTATTTTGGCAAATATAATTTTTTGAATATAGAATTTTATAGAATTTTTTCCCAGTGATTATAGGTATAGCTTACTTACGCCCCAGGAGCATGTAGCACTCGGCATTATCCTTGCGCAGGTTTATGGCTGCGGCCAGCGTGTGAAAGGCACTGGCATATTGTTCAGCTGCGGTCGAGTTTGGGTAAACAAAACAAGTAATAACAATAACAACCATATACCAACAAGAAAGTAGCTACTAACAATGCTGAATAAGGCCTAGGACCGGAACGCCTAAGGCCCTGGCTTTTCTTGGCACTTTTAAGAAATTTATTAAAACCTCCAGCCTGTAGTTTTCCCTCTATTTCTATTTAACCCTTTTCAAGCAGGTTTCCCTCCGTTTTCCTCGGACTAATGAATGGGTAGTCATTCTGCCTAAGAAATGACAAGTTTTGTGAATTTGCAGCTTTTGTATTGACCAATCACTGCAGCAGTTGCAATGGCATGTGCAGTTTTGGCTAACTGCCAAACGTTTGTTCCGCAAAATAGCTACAAAACAATGGACTTTCGGACATGAAACGTGCTGGTAAAGTTTGTATAGTTTTCCAACATGAAAATACTTGTGGAAATTCTGAAAAATATTACTGCAAACCTGTTGAATTTTTTGTTAGCTAATTGCTGGAAATAATATATTCAATCTCTGAATATTTCATCTGAAAATTCCACAAAATGTGCTTCACAGAAATAACAAAAAGTAAAGCTTTAAAAGAAAAATATACACACATTTTTGTGTTGACTTTACAAAGAGTGTGCTTATATTCTGGGGAACCACTCACAGGCAATGTATATTAAGCTCAAGTTGTACAGAGCGTTGTAATTAAGCGGCGAGAGCCAAACGGATTTGCGCAGAGATGAAATGGCCTGGAAAAAATGATGAAATATTTAAATGCCAAAATGATACATACATATGTATATATGTAACTTGAGAATTTAAGTACCACAATAAACTTTTGCTTTTTGAAGAAGCACAATCCAATGTTGTTCCAGAGCTCGGCAATTTCCGGCTCAGCGTTTGCGATTTGGCTGTATTTGCTAAGGGCGCCATCCACGTCGTTCCGGGACTGCAAACAAAAAAAAAAAAAAAAAACAGAGATATATACAAGCAGTATTTAAAAATTTAAATCGTTAGGATGGTGACTTTTATCAAAAATTGGTAACCAACTCACCTGCAAAATGGCCCCGAAGGCCAACAGACCCTTGGGCGAGCATTTCCGCTCGATGCTGACGACTTCCGCCAGACGATCGTGCGCCTTTTGGGTCTCGTTGATTTTCAGGTACAAAACACTGATTTCAATCAGCACTTCGGAGTTTTCAGGTGTCAGGCTGTAAATGAAAAAGAAAAAATGAAACTCAAAACCAATCTCATGTCATTAGCAAACTGACTGCAGGCATGTCTCCAGCACATCGATGGCTTTTTGGTATTGCTTTTCCTTGCGATAGAGTTCTGCCAAACGCACAAAGCTCTCCAGTTTCCGTCCTGATTGAATTGCAAGCTCAAAGTAGGCCCGGGATTCATCTTGCTGCTGCCTGGCCACCTCCATTTGGCTTTGCGTGGTGGCCGCCCGATAAAGGAGCTCGCCCAGGTAATGATATATTTCATGGTCCGGCCGGGTGCTGCGCTGCTCTGCCTCCCGGAAAACCCCCAGAGCCTGGCTAAAACGACCCATTAAGTAGCTGAGAAAATGGATTGGGTATATAATTATTTAAATACACACACACACACAGTTTCCCCATAACAAATCATAATGCATTTTGGGGTAATATTCTGGCTACTAAAAGGTGCATTTGTAGTTGGTCGAGTGGGAAATTAATTATTTATTGGAATTTCCAGAAATGATTCTTAAATAATGGTATTACTATTATTTGTCCTAAAACTTAAGTTCATTAGAACTTTGTTAAATTATTTGTTTTATTACGAAAAAATACACAAGTTAACTTACAGTGTCCGACCGATTTCCTTGTACGTCTCAATGTTCCGCGGATTGAGCTCCACGGATTTCTGCAAGTGTCGCAAAGCCTCAATGTTATTGCCCTCTTCGCGGTCAATTAGGCCCTAGGCGAAGGGCAATCAATTAGAAAAGATACTCGGCATTAGCCGCAAAACCTGGATGGCTCACCTGGACAAAGTACAGGTACTCGGGATTCAGGTGTCGATTCAGCTCACGTTCGATGAGGCGGCGACAGCGCGTGAACTCGCGCCGAGTAAAATAAATGTGGAGCAGCCAATTAATGTTGGCATCGCTGGGCATTTTGGGAGCTGTTTTGTCCTCAAATCGTATGAAAAAAAAAACCAAATTAAATAAAACAAAGATGAAAAAGAACAACGTTTTCAAGGACTTTCGGGCACTTTGTTTCTTGCCTGGCCGCACAACCTCCAAGCTGGGCAATTCGATGAGCCTGCCGTTGCAGTTGATTTGTTCCGTTCCCGGCTCGTACATGGATTACTCTGCTCTGCTCCTTTTCCTCGTCCAGGCAAAAAGCTCAACTTCAAAGAAATGCCACTCCTGTTCGCTTTTGGCCGGCAAAACTTGGTTTTTGTTATGGAAAACTCATGCGTTGCCATGGCGAGTTTTTTGTGTGTATTTTTAAGGGTTGCCAATGCCGACGGGGGGCTGGAAATTAACTTGTTAACTGAATTAATGCACGTTTAGGCCGGGCCAAAAATGCGAAACGAGTCTAAGGCGAAAATTCCACAGCATGTATTTTTAATTAGCTGCGACAAAAATGTCCAAAACCCATTTGAAACTAATCGAAATGCAATAAAAGCTCGCTGAAACAGGCTAAATAATTGCCAAGACAAAAAGAGCAGTTTGTGGATCGGGCAGATCTTGGGATAGACCAGTTTTGTGGGTTGCAAACCCAGGTCCCGGCTCCGGCACCGCCTAATTACTCAATTTAATTCACGCCGACACTAAAGTCGGTGCCAAAGTGGCAAAGTCTGTTGCACTCGTTTCCATTTTGGGACCAAAAGACATGTGATCGTGAGCTACATTTGAAATTGTTTTCTTGTTTTGCTCGCCGCCCAAAATTCAAAAGCAATTAATGCACGAAAACATATCGTACAAGATCACCGTGAAATCTGAATCGATACGGCTTCAATCGCGGCGCCGATCTCAGATCTCAGAGAGATCTTGAACGGGAAGTGGCACCTTTTCCCAAAAGGCAACGCGGCGGCTACGTGATCTGCAGCCAGAATTTGCTAGAATTCGCTAGGAAGTGGTGACCACCTGATCACAGACCATAAAGATTGACACTCATGATGGTTTCGCTTCCAAAAGGGGGCCTTAAATTGCAAGGAGATTAAAATCAAATTACAAAACATGACAGTTTACGAGAAAAAAACATCTCTTTAAACATTTTCCTAACAGGGTTTTGGGTGGCAAGTACAGTGAGTATTGGATAACGGATTATTAAGTATTTTAAAGTTAGTTTTTTATATATATTTATTAGCTTTTATTGCTTTTTTAAATTGATGTTTTGTTAGGCAAAATAAAGTGATCATGTCATAAGGTCTTAGATAAGCAGAACATTTCTATATATCGATAATGTATCGATTTTGTATAGCTATGGTCGATTAATAAATGGATATCTTAACGTTGAGATGAATAGTTTTGAGATAAATCTTAATTCCTTTAGATATATATCACCAATAAATCGAAAAAAAAGAAAAAATAAATTAGGTAACGATTATAAGGTATTTTTCGATATTATCTATCTTTTAACGTTAAATGCATTTTTCGATACTTGAAAATTTTATTAAATAACATGAATTCATTTTCGATATATTTTTTTTTATTTTTTAAATTAAATTTTAAAATATTAATACATATATATTTCTGCAAAAAATTCTTTCCCATGCAACAATTGGCGTAAAATTATTTTTTACATGTTATAGTCCATGAGCTGCTTTGTACTGATTTTACAAATTATGGAACTGCTTTTAAAATTTTCTGTCAACTTTTACACTGCTTTTTAAATAGTTGATAAGTTTTTGTACTACTGTTTTACGAGTTGAACAATTTTACTCGTAAGTAAGATATAGCGGTATAACAGCA